ATATGTTTTGGGGGATGATAGTAGCTTCTAGGAAAAAAATTATGAGCTATATTGGTTCATAAGAACCTCGAAAAAAATGACGTTTTTCTTTTAATTTTAATTTTTAACTATGATAGAGTTCTGGAAAAATTATGAAACTATTTTTTTTTAATTCCTCATCCAATTTCCTGTGGAATTATGACTTTTGGGAATATTAATAAATGGTACGCCATGTTGAAAAAAATAGAAAACCATTTTTTTATTCAAAAATCAAATTATTTTAATGTTTTTATTCAATGAACAGCAGGAATGGTGCTCACTCAAATATTATTCTCGATTATGTATTCGATAACTACGTCTTAATTAATATTATTGTTCCCGCATAATAATTAGTTCATTCAGTAACTGTAAGATGGCACTGTTATTACAAGTCGGTAACCTTATTTTCTACTTTTAATTAAAAATGACATATTTACAAACGAACCTTCAAATTCACTGTTTACATTAAGAAAAAGCTCGGTTTGTCTATTATCGCTTGTTCCAAAATATAAAAAGGACGTATTACTCTGATTTTATATAAATACAAATATGTCTACGTCTAAAAATAACAATCCAAAATGTTGTGTTTGTTCAAAATTCATAAAAAAAGTACCTGGTGCTGCAAAACATATAGAAAGTGATGGAGATGCTGTAGAGTTTTCAACTATTTTCGACTGTCCAATTATAGTTGGTGATATTGTGTGCTCATGTTGCCGTGTAAAAAAATATAAAAAAATGAAACTTGATGATGAAGAAACGGAAACATTTGGAGAAAATGAATTGACTTCAGATATAAGTGATTTGAGTGGCATGTTAGAAAGAACTGAATCAAACTTATCATCGATGACTTTGTCGCAATCAAGCTCTGATGGTCCATCATATCATTTGAATTTTGTATCTCATGATACAGAGGAGTGTATTGAAATTCAAATTGAAAGAACTGTTGCTACCCACAGATACTGTTGTGTGTGTAATATTTTAAATACTAATCTTGTACTTGTTCCTCAAGATGCACGTACTCAATGCTTCATCAAGCGACGAATTTTTATTCCGAATGGAAATCGATGCTGCAGAGACCATCTGATAAAAAAACGTTTTTATGAAGAGAATTTAGATAGGCTAAAGGTTTTTTCCAATTGGAGTATTTTAAGATCGTCAAAACTAACCCAACGTATGGAAAACTTGGTTGTTGACTGTAACTCTAAATATCCAAATAGTTCAAATATTGACGGTCATTGATGAAGATAGCGAAGAAGATTAGTCATGAGGATCACAGAAAATCTTTCTTACTATGTAAAAAATAATATATTTAAATATAGCGATAACTAGTGTTTAATGAATAAAAACATTGAAATAACTTGATTTTTTAATATCGGCTCACGGGTTTCTGAGAAAATCATTTTTTTCTGAATTTCAACTTTTTTCGATTTTCTCGAAAACGGTATTAGATGAAGAGCTGAAACTTGCAGTATCGAAGTATCTTATAAGTACCAACATACCCTGAAATTATAAGCCAGATAATTTTAGAGATATCTTTCTGGGGCCGATTCACTATACTTATCGGCCTATGGCCTTTAATTTCGAAGTATTGTCGTGATTTTGCTTATTTGAAGTTAATTTGTAACTTGTTGTAAAGTATTGATTTTCTAACATTATTATTTATTTGAGTCGACCGCACAAAGCTTTTCAAGCTGCTAAGATGAGGACGACGCTCAATTTCTTGGTAAGCCGACGTTCTTGTTAAGTGTTGAATCCAGCGTTTAGAGTCCACGTTGTAATTTTGTAAAATATTTTGATTAACAAAATAATACGCGAGGATTCAACGATTTACGATTATTTCTTTTTGTAATGCTGTTATTACATAGTGTGATTGCCGATGTATGAATGTGAGAGTAAGGATTGAAGTGGAGATAACGACGTTTATTAATTTTAATTTCGTTAAAATTAAGTGCAAATTCAAGTTACGACGTTTAATAATTTTTGTTAAAAATTAATATCGACCGCCGACACATATTTTGTTGAATAAATTGTTATTTTTTTTAATTCTCCTGAATTTATTTCAAGTAATTTTAAAAATTTCGTTTATTTTACTGTCTTTTTTTTAACGACGAGTATTTCAGCATGGCCCGCCACCCTGAGAAAGAGGTAAGAGCTAGCCGAAGTCGAAGCAGTAATTAATTGGAGATCATTCTCCTGGCACCCATTTATTAATGATAATTTTTTTTAAGTAAGCCAAAATTTCAATATAAATGGTGAGCCTGGCTTGGTAAATCCCCGGGTCAGGCAAAATCCCGTTACAAAACTTAGTAAGATATGTATAGTATAGTAGATAGATATATGTATAGCAGGGAATATGCTTTGACTATACTTAGGCTAACTAAGTTTACTCAGGACTTATCCCGCATGGAAAAATATATATGCGAAAAATATATGCAAATATATATTTTCACATATATTTTTTTTGCGCTAAATATATGTCTACATATATGTTCACATATATGCGTGCATAGATGTTCACATATATGTGCGCATATAAATGTCTAGAGATTCACAGAAAAAAATTTAACTTGAATCAAGAAAATAATTTTGAAAAATTTAACTTTCTTGATTTAAGTAAAAAAATTCTCAAACTTAGAAATTTTTTTTTCAGGGTATGCTTACATATATGTCGACATATATGTCGACATATATGTCTACATATATGTGAGCATGTATTTCTGCATATATGTCAGCATCTATGTGAAAAATATATGTAAACATATTTTTTTTTGCGTAAATATATGCGACATATATATTATATATGCGACATATATTTTTGACATATATATTTCTCCATGCGGGTAGTTCGGCTGAACACGCTCTATGTGTGTCTACTTTCATTTAGATCCGTTAAGAACTGTAGACACAATCGTGGCAACATACCGCGTTATATTACATTAGGGTGTTTCAAAATTTAATCTCTAAAAGCAACCTTTTAAAATTGGAATTTTGAGTTCCGCTTTTAGCAGGAGTTAGGTTTGGGTATTTCCTGAGATATTTTGTTGTGTCAGGATTTATTTGATGCTCAAATAATTGTTTAACAGGAGTTTCGTTGAAGCAGTTTTTCTGGAATTTCAAAATTTGGCCAAACGAAACTCCTGTTAAAAAATTCTGTGAATATCAAATAAATTGTGGCACACCAAAATATATCAGGAAATGCCCAAATACAGCTCAAAATTTCGATTTTAAAAGGTTGCTTTCGAAGATTAAATTTTTACGCACCCTAATATTACATATACATAAATTTTAGTGATAAATGAATTTTTCATATGTCACATGGATATTTCTATCATTTTAATAAAACAAAATTCCCATGTTATCATTGGAAAAATTCCTATGTTAACATTGGAAAAATCCCAATGTCAACGTAGGAATTTTTCCTATGCAAAAATAGGAAAAATCCCTATGTTTTTTTCGGTGACCGTCTCTTTTTTCTCACGCAAAAATTTCTCGCGACATAAATTCTCAGCAATACTTTTTTTTACAATATTTTCTTAGAGGCATTATTTCTCATCGTTAAAATTTATTCGGTATAATTTTCTTGTACAAAAATTTCTTTATGGCTCCATAATTCTATTACGACAAAAATTTCTCATACAATAATTTCTCATACAAAAAATCTCATATAAAAATTTCTCATATGAAAATAAAAAATACACATAATAACCATGATAAAAGGGCACAGCACGGTTACAAGCTTCTGTGTTGGTCAAATATCGAATTAACATACACAATAACCATGATAAAAGGGCACAGCACGGTAACAAGCTTCTGTGTTAGTCAAATATCGAATTAAAACACACAATAACTATGATAAAAGGGCACAGCACGGTTACAAGCTTCAGTGTTGGTCAAATATTATTATTATTATTATTATATAAATTTTAAATTTTTGGGGTCCAGGAGCAAAGCCCTGGCGGGGGTTGGCGGGCGGAGCCCCCCATTATAATAACTTTATTAATGTTTATTATTATTATTATTATGATTATTATTATTATTATTAATATTGTTATATAAATTTAAAATTTTTGGGGTCCAGGGGCGAAGCCCTGGCGGGGGTTGGGGGGTGGAGCCCCCCATTCTAATAACTAATAACTTATATTTATGTATTGAAATGTTATAAAACTATACAATTTCATTTCCATTCATTGCTTTTAGTAGCATAGTATTTTATATGATAATTTTTTCACGCATATTATATAAACCTCAATTTATTGTAAATCCTTAATTATAAATTTGAGAAATTTTTGACGGATAATTTTTTGTTCTATAAGAATTTAAGGGCTGTGCGATACACATTTGGATATGCATGGTCAAGTTGCCATATTGATTGTTCACTCCGCGCTAATTTACGCATTGAACTTGTCTGTTTGTTATAAAAATTTATTTTATTGATTTGTAATTGATATGATATGAAAATAAAATATGGACGAGTTGTTGAGATCGTGGAAATTGAGTGATTTATATAAAACTTTTTGTGGTTAAGTTTCTTAATATTTAATAAATAATTTCTTTCTAGTCAATATACAATTTTTAAAACTAAACAAACTTTTTTTGATATTTAATATTCATTCATAAACATAAATAATATAAATAATTTTCAATAAAAATGATTTTTTAATTTCAGTCATAGAAATTAGCCCTTGTTCACTATTACAATCTGAACCAAAATAACGAATAAATAAGTTAAAAACAAGTTTCAAAAATGTACACTAAACCATTTCTGTATCTGACGTCATTGATACACTTTCGTAATAAAATTGCATTCTTTACCACATTTAATACATGAAAGTTTGTAGTACATGCGGGCACAAATATTTTCTTTCTTATCGACGGTAAATCTTCAAACTATTCGTAGCAAATTACACTTTTACCTTTTGTAACTATATTCCTAATCCATTATAACCCTTTGTTATCAAAACATAATATCAAGTTGAAAAAAACTACATATACAACTGTGAATTTACAGAATTTTCAATAATAGCGGAATGTTTCTTAATCCATGCAATTGATCGTTCAGCATACTTGACAGCACTTCTGGCTTGTTCCATACCATCCAAGTTACTAATAATGTTCTCCACCAATGAAGAAAACTGTAATGTTATCTATTTATTTTATACATCCATATCAATTGTAACAAGTTTCAATTGCATCTTTTACCAACCTGTGTTAGAATCTCTATTGAAGTGACTCTAACTTTGACTAAGTTCAGCACATCTGTCAAAAATTTACTGCCTCGCGTTTTTATTATTTTTTCAAAGTTTTTTGCTATAAATTCCAGCGTGTAGTTGGTATTTTCTCGATTACCATTTATTATTCCACTAACTATCAGTGTTCTGTACTGTTTCTGTATTTCGGGCTCATGAGCCGTTATCGAAAAATTTAAAAATCTAAAAAAACCATACCTTTAAAATAATTTTCTAATATTGTATAAAAATAATTAGTGAAACTCTACATACTTGTCAATCAATATTTTATTATTTGAACATCCCAGTGCTTTCATCAATAGTTCCTTTTCAGTATGCAAATCAGCCTGAATGAATCTGTTAAAGACTTCGTTCCAGTCTTCATCACTCCCGAATCGAATCCCACTGCAGTAGATAGAGCTCTTTAAATCTGGATCAACACTGCGCAAATAAATAAATAAATGACCTATCTTTGTGCTTAAACGACCGAAATAAAAGTAAATTTACATCTCTGAAGAATCGTTGATCCACTTAGTAAATTTAAATCTAGCTTGCTTCAGACAATGTGGATCATTCATTTCACATGCTGCGGAAAGTATCAACTGGCGTAGAAGTTTTTCTCTCAAAGAATCTTGAGTCTTGTCAAAAGAAAACGATTGGTAGATAGTTTTTAAAAGCCGGATGGTGTAACTCTGAAAGTATTTAAGAAGAATTAAAACTCTTAACAACAGTAGCGCTACAAAATCAAGTTATCCTACAGCTTTAATCTATTGACAAACTAAGACAATATTGAGAAACTTTGATTACTTGGAGTGAAACACGGAGAGTTGGTAAGTCTTGGAAAATCTGGTTCAGAAAATAGAGGGATTTGAGTGAAGCAAACCAAGGCTCGTATTCTGTTTCTTTGCCGAGATAATTGATGAGACGGAACGAAATGTTGTAGGAAATATAGCTGCTTTGGGCAAGATTGAAAGCGTCGTCGATGAGCGTGGCTCGTGTTATCGGCTTAATTGTATCAAATTCATCGGTACCCAGATGTTCAATCAACATGTTCCAGTTATAATAGTCATAGTTTACGCGATAATACCCTATCTTGTCGATATCACAGAGGATCCAGTCTTGAGGATCACTATTTATCTTCATTAAGCTCTTATCTTTGGGTGCCAACCAGGTGGAACCAAATTGTGATGAGGTTGTTGAGCCTGCTAGAGATTTAGAAACAAAGCTCAAAGGCACCCACCATAATGGTTGCTTTGGATTGCTCCAGTTTGAATGCAGATCGAAACGTTCCTGCAAAATCTCTATCCAACCAGATGAATAATTTCTTTTGATGGTTATCAATGGGTACCCGGGTTGGTTTGCGTAACTTTCAATAACTTCACGCATATTTATGTCTTTCATCAACTTTCCTCCTCCATTTGAATAATTTTGTAAGTGCTCGTAAAGAATTTCAGGCGTTACGTAGCTGTACAAACTGAAAGAATGTTTTGTTTTTTATTAAACAAGAAGACTATTGAAGTATGCATTGAGATCTAATGAATCATCGAATGTTGAAAAGATATTTTCTTTTGACAATTTTTCCAAGGATAATCTCAAATATCTAACTTACTTGGTTCTTAAAAATGATGTTATTGCTTGTAAAAATGACTCAGACCCCATTAACCGAGAAATCATTCGGACTATCGATGAACCTGAGGAAAGAAGAGATTTAAGAAAAAATATTAAATCTATTTGACAGATGTTCCTGTAATTACATTTGATAAAGTTTTGCACTGAAAAGACAATTTTTGATTTAAGTAAAAGATAATTGTTCAGTTTTACCGTTCATAATACTTGAATTCATAAAAATGATGTTTAGATATTTTTTTAAACAAAATCGTATTTTTTTCTGGAAATCAATCAAAAAAATAAAATAATTTTTAGAACATTTTTCGGAAATGTCAACTTATCAATAAAAAAATTTTTTCAAATCAGAATTCCGAAAATATAAAAGTTCATGCCTCATAACACTCACTTAATTGCTAAGAAAAAATAAATAAACCGTATTACTGTCTAAAAATAAACTGAAAAAATAAATGAATTTATTTTCAATAGTCGAGAGAAAAATAAAAATGGAAAAATTATAAATAAAAATCTGGAAAACGGTTGACCTTAAAGGCCATCCCTGCAACTTCCCGCTAATACCATATCTAAGCGCTTAAAATTTCACTTACGACGTTTTTAAGCTCTTGGAGCTCAAAAATATAATTTATATGTTATTTCGAGCTCTCTGAGCTCAAAGAGTTAGCTGTTCTGAGCTTTTGAGCTCTTCGAGCTCAAAAATATAATTTATATGTTATTTCGAGCTCTCTGTGCTCAAAGAGTTAGCTGTTCTGAGCTTTTGAGCTCTTCGAGCTCAAAAATATAATTTATATGTTATTTCGAGGTCTCCAAGCTCAAAGAGTTAGCTGTTCTAAGCTATTGAGCTCTTCGAGCTCAAAAGTCTCCTAAAGGTTTAATAAAACAGTATTTCTTTAATTTTTAAACTGCAATAATTTCTGAAAGAATGAATTGATTTTCACGCGATTGGCAGTATTCTACGCAGTTTTTCAAATTATATCATATACTTTTGAACACAAACTGATCGTACCGAAAATCTTAGAGAAATTTGAAAAATTCACTTTTTCCGAAATTTTTCGTTTTCGATAACTCTCAAACGAATGAAGAAAAATATTTTTGATGTGCCCATTTTAGTTGTGCAGAACTGAAAAAATGTATAACTAGCGATGCGCTTTTTAGACATTAGTAATGTGATCTTTTTAATCTAAAAAAAAAATCGTCTGCTTCAATCGATTAAATTGTCCATATAATAAAAATACTTAATAAATGCGCTTTCTATTTAAAAAGTCGGTGTGACGATTTATTTAATTCTTAAAATTCAAGTGAGTGATATGAGGCATAGACTTCTGAATTTTCAAAACTTTATTAATACTATGACCGAAGAAATGATTCCTCGAAGTAAGGATATGAAAGTAATCAATCAGCACCTTTTTGATAGGCGTTAAAATCAGCGTAACCCATAATGTTATCAGCTTCTCCATCACCTCTACCGTTCATGGTCCGATTATGTGCCGCAGAATCACTGAGAAGTGCAGACTGTAAGTTTTCAACCACAAACAAATCCATCATTCTATTATCTGGATTAATAATTGATCGAGCGATGTAAGAGAAGTATGTAGCAAATCCTTCCTTAAGCCACGCGAAGTTCCAAAACTCTGGAGTTACAAGATTACCAAACCACGTATGAGCGTATTCATGCCCCATCGTAGTAAGTCCGCTATGTATAACGTCTGTTGGTGTAGTTTTTTCATCGAAAATGATTCTTGACTCACGAAATGTGATCATACCCCAATTTTCCATTGCACCAAAATGAAAATCACTAATTGCTACGTGGTCAATTTTTTTAATGGGGTTTTCTATGTTGAGGTATGACTCCAATGCTAAATAAATTAATCTGCCTTCTTGTAATGCTAATGAACCTTTTTCTGCGATCGTTTCTCTCGCCCACAAACTAAACCCAGGCAAATCTACTGATTCATAATGATTAAAATCGTGAACAGACCATCCAATTAAATACGTCGACATTTTTGGAGTTTTTTTCATTGACGTTATAATATAATTTGATGTATTTCTGAAACATGAAAATAAAGATTGGTCGGCAAATATTATAAAGATGTCATCAAAAGTATATTATATTTTGAGGATAAAAATAGTATATTACACTATTAGGGCAGAAGTTTGAAAGCCCTGAACTGCGCGCCATGATGCCCGAGGCGAAGCCGACATTATTTAATTAACATAATTTTGTTAATTAAATAAATTAAATCCTTCACGATTTAAATTCTCAATGCTTCATGAAATATACAATCAGCGTAAACAAAATACGGTTAGTAACAAATAACGAACATAATTGGGGTACTGAAAGCAACTTCACACATGTTTTAATGCGGTAGAAAAGTTTTTGCTCCCGCTGTAACAAAAGACGTATGCGTAGCTCTACCAATGCACGAATGTTGAACTTTCTGCTTTAAAAAAGGTGCAAAATTTGCGTACTTTCGACCGAGGTATAAAGAAAAAAATATTTAATTATTTGATAAAACGCAATAGGGTTGTAATTAAATTTTTTGTTTGGTTTGTAAATGCCCACAAAAAAAGTTGAGATCTGCTCAAGTCGAATTTGGTCAAATTCATGAGACCTGAAAAAGAAACAGTCAACTTATTGTAGTAGGATCAAAATTTAAGATTGAATAATCGGGTTTGATCAAATTTGACTTTTTTTGAACTTTTTTAACAATTCTACAATCGTAGTTTTTTTTTTTTAATAAATCGATGAGTAGAATGCAAGATAAAATTGTTCAAAAATATTGGTTACGACCTTCATTCTATATTCTTTACAACAGAATAACATTTTCGTCATATTTTATTCCAACCCAACTAGAATTTTAGCGAGGTATGCCGAAGAATTAGTTTGGGGCGAACTTGGCTTTATGAACTTAGGCTATCCAAATTCGGATTTTATTTGTTTTAGATTAGGCAAGTCGAGTATTGGTATCCCAAAAGAATTCCAGATTTGGATGCCATGCATTGCCTAATTAGTATGAAATAACGGTAATCCAAGGTTTAATAGGATACCTAAAGCTCGGTACACCAAGCTCGGGCTTATATAGACAAACCTGTGGCAATGTCTCAGTTCAGTATGCCATAGATTGCCAAACTAGTATGAAATAACGGTGACCAAAGGCTTACCGAAGGTTCGCTTAAGCAAACCTGTGGCAATGCCTACGTTCGGCATAATGTAAAGTGCCTAACTGGTTATAGGTTTCCGATGACCGAAGGTTTATTAAAGTTTAGTATACCAAAGTCGAGCTCGTATAGGAAAAACTGTAGCAATGCTAAGTTCGTCATACCATAAACTGCCTTACTAGTATGGAGTAAATTTTTTTTACAAGAAAGCCAAACTAAGGTCATACTACACTTAGGCTGCTATCAGTGAGTGTGATTTTTGAATTATCGCCTAAGAAAGAAGCCGAGATCGGACCACGATGATTGCCGTTACATCATACCAGTCAGACATTTCAATGGTATGCTAGACTTTGGCAATGCCATAGATTTTCCTACTTTACTAGTTAGACCCAACTTCAATAAGCCAAACTTTGGCATTATTGGAATGCCTGACTTGTATGGAGTAACGTTACCGAAGGTTTGTCGAATTTGAGTGTTACTTCGAGAATCTATGGTCTTGCCGAAATCTTCTATACCGTTGAAATGCCAAGTTGATATTAAGTAACGGTAACCGAAAATTTTCCAAACAAATTTGTTTTTTGGAGTTTACTCCTTAAGAAACGATTTGAGTTATAAGGCCCGGTACGGAAATTTTATGAAGAGTAAAATCAAGTGTAACATGAAAAGTTGAGGCGTTACGTAGATAGAGACAAACATATATCTGTGGGATTGAACGTGCAAAAGAATGAGATGGAATACATTACACAGCGTATCGTATTCTCGGGGCCTCCTCTTTGTGCGATGCTTCATAGTCTCACTGTATAGTTCACTACCACTGGTCTGAGAGTCGAATGTGTGCGTATGTTTGTATGTGTGTGTTGCGTGCCTACGTATTACGAAGTTCTGTCGCAACTTGAGCCAAAAAAAAAGGTTTAGTTATTTGCAAATATTTGAAAAACTAATAAAGATTTAAAAAATTTTTGAAAAGATTCAAAAAGAGGAGGAAATTTCCCAAAAAAAGGTCCCCTCCCGGAACTGTAGGACCAATATTTATAATTTTCCTAGAGGGATGAAAATACGGCTAAAAACGGGTGCTTTGGCTTGCCTACTTTGGACACTTTATTAATGAAAATTATTTAAACATATTACATATAAAATTTAAGAAATAAAAAAAATCAGGTGCTTACTGGATAGATAAATGAACAATAATCCGCCTAAAAAAAATTTTTATCGTAATTTTTCAATTAGTTATGCAATAGTTAATTAATAATTTTTATCTGCTTGAACATGTACATCGCAAGTGTAATAATTTTTAAACTATAAATTTAAGGTTTTTTTTCTCTCTTGGAGCAATTCTTGAAAGGCTCCAGAATAGATCCCCGTTGGAAAAATCAAAAAATTTTTATTTTTTAGTTTTTTATTAGTAATTTTCGTTGTTGCAAAATTAAAAACTCAAATTAATCATCGAAAAAATTTATTTTTTCAAAATATTATTAATGATCCGTTTTTATGTTGTCAGAAGCTGCATAAAAATAATTTTAAAAAATTTTCATCTGTTATTGTTCAAAAAATTGCTATAAACAAATGCGCTGCTTATAAGATAGTTGAAAATTTTTTTACGGGATTTCAACCTTTGATACAAATAATGATTTTTAAAAGAAAAGATGTTACTTAAACAAATTTTTGGAGTTTATTGGAGTTTACACAAAATTTTTTTATTTATATTTGTCGATATTAATTTGCAATTCGAAAATATTAACAAGTTAATAGAGTTAGATATTTTGACAAATTAATTATATAATTAATGTAAATAAATGTATCATGTATGCTTCAGTAATATAATGGTTAATTTCATTTAACATTATTTACTAATCTATATATACGATATAATCGTTTGTAAAGAGTAAACTCCAGTCGTGCGTCGGAGCTGACACACACAATTTTTTTTTTTATTTACTGAATGTTCGAAAAATTTACTCCTAAATTCAATATTTACAATTAAAATAGTAAAAGTTAAAAAAAAAAAAACAAGAATTCATTATTATCAATTCTCGTTTGTAATAAAAAAGCTAAAAACGAAGAAAGAATTAAATTTTGATTTTTCCTTGCAAATTAGGCTTGCGAATCGCTGCCTAGTTAGGTAGCCAAATTCGAACCAAATGAGGTTTAGATAGTCAGCAGTAAGTGTAGTTTCCAAACTTTCACCTAATTCGGAAGCCAAGCTAGGCAGCAACGAGTGACTGCGTTATTTTAGTGATGTGAGCCGACTTTGGCTTTCTGATTCAGCGCGAGTTTGGAACTTGGCATGCCTAATTCGGACCGAACCACCGCCAAACTCAAATTTATAGTCGGGAACTTATTATGATGCAAATAGTAGATTTAATTCTAAAAAAATGATGAAAAAAAGTTTTATAATAGTATGTATTTTACGTAGGACTTATCCGTTCCATTACTGTATTTGACGTAATTGTCTGATTGCGATAATGACCAAAATGGAGCTTAAAAGTGGCTTTCATATATGGCTCGTCAAAACATGGAAAAGCACGGCGGGCGAACGTCTGTGAAAACTGGGTGACTCCCATCCACCTGAAAATTGAATTTAACCTTTGTTTATATTTATTATAGGTTTGTGTTTCATGGAAAAATAATTTAACAGGGTTAATTGAAACTGAAAAATAGAAAAATTTGAGTAAATCTAAATGGGCATGTCTGAAGCGCTCATGTTAAAAGTATATTTATCAAAGTAGTTAAAATATATAGGTTCTATGTCTTTTTTTATCGGTAATCATTTCTCAAGCAAAAATTTCTCAGCAATAATTTATCATTCAAAAATATATCGGGCACAATAATTTCTCGTGACTAAAAAGAATCTTTCCTAAATTTTCTCATAAAACAAAAATATATCTTTCAGAAAATTTCTCATAAAACGATAATATATCTTTACAAAAATTTCTCATAAAACAAAAATATATCTCCATGAAAATTTCTCATAAAACAAACACATATCTAATTTTCAATCTTGGAGTACAACATGAACGAACGTAATCATGTAGCGCTCATTTAACAAGATTTGAATGTGTATTTACTCGAAATTATGCCAACACATACGCACGTAATCATGTAGCGCTTATTTAACAAGATTTGGATGTGTATTTACTCGATTTGGATGTGTATTTCTTTTCAAATGGGGGGTATTTCTTTCAAAATATATACACTGAATTTTCACTATTTTACATGTACATTATGATTGTCAGGTATTATTTGATGACAAAACGTTGAGATCTTGACTGTTAGGCGATGATAGAACGTACCTTTATGCCTACGCTTAAGACAAGCAAAAATACCATGTTTATTTCTTTTTTCATTTCAATTATATTTAAAACAAAAATCATCAACTGGTTTAATTAATCATTATTGGAAAATATTGATAATAAAACTTGACACCATACCTTGTTTCATTCCTCACTTTATACGAGCTTTTGTAGAACCCAAAAAGATCATTGCAAACTTCACCATGAAAATACAAGAATAATTTGTAATTTCCAACCTTCAATTTCTGATTGAACAGAATTGTAAAAAACTGTTTATCACTGTCGCATAATTGAGACAAAATGGTCAGATTATCAATTTCATAAGTCAAGAATTCCGTTTTTTCACTTTCAATATTCAACCCATCGTAATTTAGTGTTATCACATTAGTTGGTTCAATCACAAATATATCAATAATAACGCGTCCTTGATAAGTAAAGTCACCGGAAAAAGAAGGCAGAAGCAGTTGTAAGTCATAGGATGTCGGAATAACACGTTTTGGAAGTCTATGAAATCGCACAGCTTCAGTTCTATTGCCGTGACAATATTTCAAACAAAGAAGTAACACGATTGAAAATAATTGAAATTTTCCAACAGAATTCCACATTTTTATTCTAATAAAAAATAACAAGATCTTTGCGACTTTTTCTTTCGATAAACCTAGAACATTACTTAAAAAATTGCACTGGAAAGTTTTTACAATTTGTTCAATTGGATTCACTAACATCGAAGACCTTGTCCTTACTGAGGGTCAGGATGATCCAGATAGATACTTATTAGATCTAGACGCTTAACCGGTTCTGTAACAAGTGTTATCAGAGTGAGATGAAAATACTCGTCATTATAAATTACTCGGACTAGCATTAAGCACAGACTGCATCTTGCGTGTAATCTATCCGGTCGAATAAAAAAAAAAAAGAAAAAGATCGAAAAGCGTTCTACAATTTGTTTCAGAATAAACGAGCACTTATATTTTATTTTTAACACAAAATTTAAATATTTAATTCTAACGCCGGATATGTCATGACGAAGCAACATAAAAAATGTTTTTTAAAAATTAACCTCTCTATCAGAATATAAAAAATTATTAGCACACAATTTGAACACTTATAAGAAAATGATAAAGAGGTAAACAAACAAAAGAAATCACGTATTAGTGATCAATAATCAACCAAACTCTATTATCGTATCGCTGAATTATCTGTAAGATTTTCTTATCTTATCGAGATAGATGCGGCTTAAATCTCGACAATGGTATCTTACTTATTTGGCTTACGGCGGTAAACTCCCTTTAAAGTTAAGTTTCGCTTACTCTTCCACAGAACAAAGGTATCTTCCAGAACAATACAAGCTGAGTTTCGGGATGAATAATTACGAGTATTTAACGAGCGTCATAGCGAGCATTTAATGAGCTGGTTTCACTTAATGACGTTTTTTTTTCATTTATTTTTAAAAATTCATGAGCGAAATACCATTAAATATGATACCCGAAAATAAATTAATTATTACTGAATTACTGGAGTTTTAATATTAATTAATACTAACTACTTATCTAGTTAAATTGTTTTGAATCTTCTTAATTAATTAATAGACATACGGGACAAGAGACTTTTTAATTGTTAACGACAAAAGGTAACTTAATAAGTATAAGCTTACAGTTTGAAGATTCAAACTTAGGTAAAATAATATAAGGAAGATGTAACAAGATAAACTGCTTAAGGATCTCATTCTTTATTTAATGAAAGACGTTAAAATACACGGTAATAAAATTAAAAGAATTTTTACGATTTTACTGTCGTATTGTTTATTAATAAAAAGAATAGTAAAAGTAAACTATAGTAAACTATATAGTAAGTATATATACTTCTCATTTAATAATTTTTATAATCTACTATATCGTACATGTTATTTAACCAATAATAATAGCAAGAAAGTTTGGAAAATCCAAAAGTGCACGACTCATAATTCTCATTTAATTATAAAATATTAAAAAAAAAAAAAAAAAAACTAAGTCGTTCAAAATTAGTT